GCCCGAGGTATAGGCCGCCACTAGCGGGCGTCCGACTTGACGCTACACGACAAGCGTGTACCGCCTGGGGCCGGCAGCATATAAGCATTCCATATATGAGCTTGGCACCTGTATTAAAATCATCCTCTACGATTGGTTGATTTGAAAATGCCGCGAAATATTTTTTGTTATCACTAATCAGTATTATTATTATTGAAATTATTAATTATTATTATTTATTTAAATTATTATTATTCATAATACACAATAATACAATAATACATAATATTATGGCTGGGATTTCAGTACCTCAATAGAGAAGTTACCTACTAGTTTCATATAATATATAGGTACCTAATAATCTTGATCTAAGAGCTAAGATAGTATTAGATCATTATACGATAGGTAGTAGGTACCTATGGTTAAAACTAAATAAATATAATACCAAAACCTTCAAAGTTTGGTTTCTAAAATATTAAGTTCAATTTTACAATAAGTACCTATTTATTATGTTTACCTATATTCACTAATCAGTTTTATTAATTCAGTAGTATTATCAATTTGGTAAAATTATATTATCAATATAAAAATAGAATATAACATCCATCACCTTATAATGACTTATCTAATTATTGGTTTAATGGTCTGTACGTAGCTAACTTAAAAACTTTAAAATGTTCCAAGTTAATGAAGTTGAGCCTAATGTGTTTCGAGCTAATTTGCATAATGAGAATGATATTAATTCATATATACAATTGCACAGTATCGAAACAAAAACTAGTTGGTGCATTTTTAGTTCAAAACAGTCTACTAGATATGTTTGTCGGTTGGTAACAAATTTAATTTTATATTCATAAAAAATGTTATGTATTTATTYAATATTTGATATTAAGATATAATAATTCTAAAGCTATTTTACTGGATAATATAATTATTACGTATTTATTTCTATGTAGAAAAGTATTTGTATRTCATCATAGTGCATTCCAAAAAAAAAATATTAAAGAAAATGTAAAAGGAAAGTCAAAAAATACTAATTGTCTGGCAAAAATTGATATCACAATTAAACTCACAACTAAAGATACTTGTAAAAAAGATTCATATGTAAAGGTATCTATTTTATAAGTTATTTAATAACAAATTTATATTAAAAGTTGTATTTATTGATTGAGGATTATAATATAGATAAATTATATTATAAGTGAAGATGTATATTATGTTATAATTTTCATCTACTAATTATTTTTAAGGATGGTTTACCAGCAATAATAACATTTACTATATAATTATTTTTTTTAACCAAATATAACATAACATATCAAAACATATCAAACAAAATGAAATTAACTATGGTAACACATCATATTGTTATAGTTTGTAAGGTGATTTTGAGTTCACAAGAAATATAAATTTAATAAATAATACATTTAGAATATTATATTAGTAGGTAATTAAWTAATATAGTAGGTACCTAGCTATGCAATAAAATAAAAATAACAGTTTCATGTATAATAATATAATATTTAGAATGAAATATAATATTTATATACAGGATGATTCACCAAGCATATTTTATCTTAAATGTTTTATTGTTACTTTTTTCCAGTATAGCATTTAAACTTAACGCTCATGACTCATCGTCAAATCTAATTCTCTGTTATACAAATTGGTTTTGAATCCTGATATAATATATTTTATATGTTTTGTATTTTATACAAATTACAATATCAACAGTGGTTTTGTAGTTTTGTGTTTGTCAAAGTAAATGTAAATTTTTTTAAATATAATATATAACACCGACATTGATATATAATATTTTTTATGGTACTTTTTATGAACTTAAAAAAATTAAAACTCMATATAGGAACCCATTTTTATTTAGAAATATAAATACAATTGTTAATGTAATGAAATATGAAATGCCTACATTGTCATAATATAAAATATATTAAAATACATTT